AGTCCCAACATGGGCCCCCTGGCCACGCTTGACTTTCTGGCCACATAGTCGACATACGGCTACGTTTACTTCCTCGGGCGGCTTGACAAAAAATTGCCACACCGCCGAGTAGGAAACTTTGCCCCCGCTACTCCTCACTGGCTGACTGCTACTTCCTCCGTGCACACCGGCACCACTACTGGCCGTGGTGGTAGGCTGCAGTGGAGCTGGTGCTCTACTCTGTGGCTGTTTGCCTCCACTGACACTGCTGCGACCCTGCTGCCTCCTGGGCAACCCACCGACTGTTTTGCTCGCTGCCAAGCTGCCACCCTCTTCTCCTGATGATGCGGAAGCAATAGCCTGATGACGACGAGGCTGCCAAGTGCGATCAGCCTCATCATCATCAATTAGGGTCTCCGCCTCACTACTAGCCCCCTCGGCTGCGTGTGGGTCAGGAGACAGACCTGTCTCTAGACCGGCTACCGAGCCACTCTCCTCGCCACTACTTCTTCGCCTGGCTGCTGAAGAGGCGGATGTCTCCCCCGTTCCTGACCGCCCTCTGTTAGCTCTTCCTCACTGTACAGTGGGGCTGAGCCCACAGCATGCGATACTTCACTTGGTGAGGAAACACCAAAGGACAGGGGCAGGTAGAGGACACGTGATTTCAGTGGGCTTGCTCCCGGGCCATGCCAACTAACGGTTGTGTCTGACGTACCCACCGACCGTTGGCTGTAGGTGTCAGAGGTGACCTGGGAAGAGGAAGACGACCGAGCCAACCAATCGATGACGGCAGGGTTGTCGGTGGAGACACGACCGCTGGATGACACCGGGAGCACTGGCCTCTGGCTGCGACTAGTGCTGCCTCGACCCCTTCCTCTGCTGCCACGTCTGCTCGCTCCTGAAACATTGCCTCCTCTGCCACTCCTCTGCGTGTTGTCTGACATACTCTTTAATTCAACGATTCTGTGTCCCTGAGTAACGATTCTGTGTCCCTGAGTAACAATTCTGTGTCCCTGAGTAACAATTCTGTGTCCCTCAGTAACGATTCTGTGTCCCTCAGTAACGATTCTGTGTCCCTGAGTAACGATTCTGTGTCCCTGAGTAACGATTCTGTGTTCCTGAGTAACGATTCTGTGTCCCTCAGTAACGATTCTGTGTCCCTCAGTAACAATTCTGTGTCCCTGAGTAACGATTCTGTGTCCCTGAGTAACGATTCTGTGTCCCTGAGTAACAATTCTGTGTCCCTGAGTAACAATTCTGTGTCCCTGAGTAACAATTCTGTGTCCCTGAGTAACGATTCTGTGTCCCTCAGTAACAATTCTGTGTCCCTGAGTAACAATTCTGTGTCTGTCCCTGACTAACAATTCTGTGTCCCTGAGTAACAATTCTGTGTCCCTGAGTAACGATTCTGTGTCCCTCAGTAACGATTCTGTGTCCCTGAGTAACAATTCTGTGTCCCTGAGTAACAATTCTGTGTCTGTCCCTGAGTAACAATTCTGTGTCCCTGAGTAACAATTCTGTGTCCCTGAGTAACAATTCTGTGTCCCTGAGCAACAATTCTGTGTCCCTCAGTAATGATTCTGTGTCCCTCAGTAATGATTCTGTGTCCCTGAGTAACAATTCTGTGTCCCTGAGTAACAATTCTGTGTCCCTGAGTAACAATTCTGTGTCCCTCAGTAACGATTCTGTGTCCCTGAGTAACAATTCTGTGTCCCTGAGTAACAATTCTGTGTCCCTGAGTAACAATTATGTGTCTGTCCCTGAGTAACAATTCTGTGTCCCTGAGTAACGATTCTGTGTCCCTGAGTAACAATTCTGTGTCCCTGAGTAACAATTCTGTGTCTGTCCCTGAGTAACAATTCTGTGTACCTGAGTAACAATTCTGTGTCCCTGAGTAACAATTCTGTGTCCCTCAGTAACGATTCTGTGTCCCTCAGTAACAATTCTGTGTCCTTGAGTAACAATTCTGTGTCCCTGAGTAACAATTCTGTGTCTGTCCCTGAGTAACGATTCTGTGTCCCTGAGTAACGATTCTGTGTCCCTGAGTAACAATTCTGTGTCCCTGAGTAACGATTCTGTGTCCCTGAGTAACGATTCTGTGTCCCTGAGTAACAATTCTGTGTCCCTGAGTAACGATTCTGTGTCCCTGAGTAACGATTCTGTGTCCCTCAGTAACAATTCTGTGTCCTTGAGTAACAATTCTGTGTCCCTGAGTAACGATTCTGTGTCCCTCAGTAACGATTCTGTGTCCCTGAGTAACAATTCTGTGTCCCTGAGTAACAATTCTGTGTCCCTGAGTAACGATTCTGTGTCCCTCAGTAACAATTCTGTGTCCCTGAGTAACAATTCTGTGTCCCTGAGTAACAATTCTGTGTCTGTCCCTGAGTAACAATTCTGTGTCCCTGAGTAACAATTCTTTGTCCCTGAGTAACAATTCTGTGTCCCTGAGTAACGATTCTGTGTCCCTCAGTAACAATTCTGTGTCTGTCCCTGAGTAACAATTCTGTGTCCCTGAGTAACGATTCTGTGTCCCTGAGTAACAATTCTGTGTCCCTGAGTAACGATTCTGTGTCCCTCAGTAACAATTCTGTATCCCTGAGTAATAATTCTGTGTCTGTCCCTGAGTAATGATTCTGTGTCCCTGAGTAACAATTCTGTGTCCCTGAGTAAGAATTCTGTGTCCCTGAGTAACGATTCTGTGTCCCTAAGTAACGATTCTGTGTCCCTAAGTAACGATTCTGTGGCCGTAAAGTCTCTGTGGCCCTAACTCTGTCCCTAATACACAGAGGTCTGTTTCTCTTGAATGACCGGAGGCTAATGGAGAATTCTAAGATGGCCGCGATTTATAGCTCCACCATTACACAGTGCTGGCTGGCTGGCTGCTGATTGGCTAATGCGATCACATGTCATGAATGAATGCATTATGGGTCAGCGCGCCTTCCCAGAGATCCCCGCTCCGTCGCCACACATGTCGCCGCCATTTTTGGGAAAATTCGATTCGTGCATCCGAAGTTTGCTAATTTTCGGATTCGGCGCGAATCGAATATTTCCTAATCTTCGAAACGAATTCCACTTCGTCATGTTCGATTCGCTCATCTCTAGATGCAATGTATGCAGACTGTTAAATTATATCATATTCTCTGGTCATGTAGCAAACTAGTTAATTTTTGGCTGGTAATGTTTAATATTCTTACCCAGGTCACAGGATTATCCATACCACCCTCTCCTGCATTGGTCGTCCTGCACTTGGGTAAACCGGATATTCCTCCTCTCTTTAGACAATTCACAACTCATTTTTTTGGCAGCAAAGCTGACAATTCTACATATATGGAGATCACCATCCTCCTCAAATATTAATGATACCATACTGACACTTAACACTCACTACACATATGAATGTATGTTAGCCACAATTGCTGGAAAATACTCTACCTTTAGCAAGAATTGGCAGGTATGGAATGAGTGGTACACATCTAAAAAAAAATATGTATGTAAACCTTTTACTCCTTGCTCTTTCGTAATGCTTTCAAACAAAATTGGCATATGTCTTGGGTCCTGAACCATAAACTGTTGAATTTACTTTTGTATAGTTAATCTTTATAATTTTACATTCTAATCTTTATTTCACAATCGTTTTTTCTTTTCTAACTATATGTTGCATAGATGGCACTAAAACACTTCAGGTTTCCCACAGCATACTGTATTCTTAATGGATAATGATGTTTTGTACCAGATACAAGTGCCATTTACTGTGTCATATTGTTTCAGCTGGTTAATGTATACCTTTCCTTTGACTTTGGTTTACTAAAATTTGAAAACAACAATAAAAATGTATTGAAATTAAGAAATATTAAATCATCACTCCTTTCTTTTCTTTTTTTCGGTGGTCTGTACAGTTAAAAATATACCTGTATACAGAGCAGACTTCTTTCTACATTCAATTGTGCATTCTAGCAGTAATGTTTATTATAATAATCACATGTTCCAACAGGAGGGGCTTATGCGAAACGACATTGTCGTTCAGTGTGCCTAGGCTGCATGGTGTCTATAAAAAGGACCATATGGGACCAGTACAAATAGTGGAAAATAAGTAATAATAATAATACTATTATTAATATTATTGATAATAATAATAATATGAAACCAATATTATTCTGTAGGTTTTAGAGAAATTATGTATCTGAACATTCTCCCTGACTTTCGAAATTCATTTGCAAAATAAAAGAGGAAATTGTTGTAGGAAGAACATTTGATTAATGTAGACATATTGAGGAACTTCATAGTGTTCATGACGGTGTAATAATTTTGAGTTATTTTCCTAATACTATATAAAAACCCACATATAACTAATATGTCATGTCGATCTTTCAAATTCTGAGCAAACCACCAAAACTGAAGAAGATAGATGAACAAGAATAGGTTATAAAAATGAAAATGTATTCACAGAGAAAGAATGCTTTAGGTAGAAGCATTTTGTTCAGTACATGAATGATTCCCAATTTCTTTCCTCCAGCAGAACACTGATTTAGATTTTTACATTCTGAATGAAGGCTATTAATGTTTACTATGTCAACAGTTAATTATCTGTAAGCTAATAAATAATTTCTGAATATATCTTAGTCATGTTTCTAAATAGGGCTCAGGCTGTTTTTAGATATTAACCACTTACCCTCCAGATGCCCCCCTTCCTGACCAAGCTATTTTTTGCGATACAGCGTTACATTAGCTGACAATTGCGTGATCATGCAATGCTGCACCCAAATAGAATTTACGTCTTTTTTTCCCCACAAATAGAGATTGCTTTTGGTGGTATTTGATCACCTGTGTATTTTTTATTTTTTGCACTATATAAAAAAAAGACCGACGATTTTGAAAGAAACAATATTTTTTTTACTTTTTGCTAATTAACATGTCCAGTAAAAAAAAAAAAAAAAAAAACGTAAAAAAATCAAATTTCAGCGTAAATTTAGGCCATAATATATTCTGTGACATGTCTTTGCTAAAAAATCCCAATACGTGTAAATTAATTGGTTTATGTGAAAGTTATAGTGTTTACAAATGGTGGTGTATATATATATATATATATATATATATATATATATATATATATACTAGTAATGGCGGCGATCAGCGACTTATAGTGGGACTGCAGCAGGCATTCTGACACTGGTGGGAACTGACTTGGTGTCACTGACATCCCCAGAGACACCAATACAGTGATCAGTGCTAATAAAAAAGCACTGACACTGTACTAATGACACTGGGCAGAAAGGGGTTAACATGTGGGGTGATCAAATGGTTAACTGTGTGCTGTTTGACTATGAGGCTGTGTGCTGTCTTTTACTGTAAACACAGGTCTTTCCCACGTTGGAGATACTCAGCAATCACCAGGTGCCGGAGCGAAATCATCGTCCAGGACACGAGGCCGAGGCCGGGAATGGCGGTGTGTGGGTAGAGCGTGTTTCCCTCCTTACCCAGTACTGCAAATGTACATATATATATAGATATATATATGTGATTTTGCGCACCCGTACAACCCTGTAGCAGTATTTCTGCTATAGGGCAGCATGGAAGCAGTCAAAGAAAAACCCTGGTCTGAATTAGAAATGTTTCTGCACAATATAATGGTAGAGTTTTGCAAAGCTTTAATTAAAACTCTTGAACAATTCTTTCTTACGTTTCTGAGGTTGAGACAAAATCTAGTAAAATAATTTGTTATACATGTTAGCCAAACTTTAAAGTGCACCTATAGGCTAATGACATTTTAGTTTTTATATACATTCTTAAGAAGTAATAAATAAGTATTAAATTGAGTGCATACAACCTCAGGAGCTGCAAAAAAATATGGTGCGACTCACAGAATAAGCACCTACAGCATATATAAGTCCAAGTACAAAAATGTTATACAGTGAAGGAAAAAAGTAGGTGATCCCCTGCTGATTTTGAATATTTTCCCACTCACAAGAAATGATCTGTTTAAAAATCAAATGGTAGGTGTATTGTAACACTGAGAGTCAGAATAGCAACAAAAAATTCAAAAGAAATGCATGTCTAACAAATTATGCACTGATTTGAATGTTCATGAGGGAAATAAGTATTTGATCCCCTTCACAAAATTTGACTTAGTACTTGGTGGTAAATCCCTTGTTGGCAATCACAGAGGCCAGAGGTTTCCTGTAGTTGGCCACCAGGTTTGCACACATCTCAGGAGGGATTTTGGCCCGCTCCTCTTGGCAGATCCTGTCCAAGTCATTAAGGTTTGGTGGTTGACGTTTGGCAACTCGAACTTTCAGCTCCCTCCACAGATTTTCAATCAGATTAAGGTCTGGAGACTGGCTAGGCCACTCCAGGACCTTACTGTGCTTTTTCTTGAGCCACTCCTTTGTTGCCTTGGCCGTGTGTTATGGATCATTGTCATGCTGGAACACCCATCCACGACCCATTTTCAATGCCATAGCTGAGGGAAGAAGGTTCTCACCCACGACTGGACGGTACATTGCCCCGTCCATCATCCCTTTGATGCAGTACAGTTGTCCTGTCCCCTTAGCAGAAAAACACCCCCAAAGCAGAATGTTTCCACCACCATGTTAGACAGTTGGGATGGTGTTCTTGGGGGTGTTCTTGGGGTCATTAGGCAGCATTCCTCCTCCTCCAAACATGGTGAGTTGAGTTGATGCCAAAGAGCTCGATTTTGGTCTCATCTGACCGCAACACTTTCAACTAGTTGTGGGATTATTCCTCCCTGTTCTCATGATCATTGTCAATCCATGAAGTGAGATCTTGCATGGTGCACCAGACCTAGGCAGACTGACAGATGTTTTGTGTTTCTTCCATTTGCGAATGAATGCACCAACTGTTGTCACCTTCTCACCAAGCTGCTTGGCGATAATTTGGTAGCCCAGTCCAGCCTTGTGTAGGTCTACAATCTTGTCCCTGATATCCTTGGACAGCTCTTTGGTCTTTGTCATGGTGGAGAGTTTGGAATCTGATTGTTTGATTGCTCCTGTGGACAGATGTCTTTTATACAGGTAACAAAATGAGATTAGCAGGACTCCCTGTAAGAGACTGCTTCTAATCTCAGCTTGTTACCTGTATAAAGGACACCTGGTAGCCAGAAATCCTGCTGAATGATAGGGGATCAAATACTTATTTCCCTCATGAACATGCAAATCAGTACATAATTTGTTAGACATGCATTTCTTTTGAATTTTCTTTTGCTATTCTGTCTCTCAGTGTTACGATACACCTACCATTCGATTTTTAGACTGATCACTGTTTGATCACCCACTTCGTGAGTGGGAAAATATTCAAAATCAGCAGGGGATCAAATACTTATTTCCTTCACTGTATATTGCAAATTACCAGTTCTTAGATGAGGTAGGTGCATTCCCTTCTTTTTTCAGGCTTTTTTCCCCCTCTATTTTCATCCAGTAAACCTGCTGGTAATATACATCCCATTCTAGGGTTAAAGCGCTTATTCACTGTACTGAATGTATGGATCAACAGCATTGTCACCATAGGAAAGAAATTGTTAAGAATACAAAACACCTACCATTCTTCTGCTTTACATAGCATAGTGGGGGAGATGTGCTGCAATAAGCAGAGAGAGCTAGAAACAATTCAAACTGAAAACATCCAGCAAAACCACAGAGCATAGGAGGTTATCACCTCACTAGATTTCTGGCAGGATCAACATAGATTTTTGGCACTTATCTAACAGATATAAAAAAAAATTGTTTCAATGCTATACTTAAAGTGTTACTAAACCCACAACAGTAAAATCAGTCTATATATGCAGTAAAGCATGCTTGTTGTACTCACTGTGGAACCTAAGGGGTTAACTCTCTGCACTGTGTAAAAATACTGTTTGATCCTGACTTTTCTGATCCTCTCCTTCTTCCAGTGCTCCCCTCTTATTTCCTGATAAGACATATTATGTGGAGACAGTGCACATGCTCAATATGGTGTGTATTGCTAGGGAGGTTTTTTTTCTTCTTGGGAAGTGCATGTGACCAGCACAGGGCCAATCAGCACTGCCCAAACAGAGGTTAGGGGTTCTGCATCCTCCTAGAGAAAACTCATCCTACAAGCTTTACCCAGTGCTCTGCTGCACACTGATAGAAGTCACAAGACTGCTCTAACTGCTGGTGAGAAAAGGTATTTAGCAGTTTATATTTACTAAAATAATTGCATTTCCATGTTCTGTGTACTGTGGGAGACCAAATATAGTGAATGCAGGGTCCTGGGTTTAGAAACACTTTAACATGCCAAAAGAGAGCAAACAAGAGAAGTTCATTGGTAGGGTTTACATACTGTTTAGAGTCTTTGAAAGGGTAAGGAAGCCTTCACACAAAGTTGTTTCACTTTTTTCCATTACACTCTTAAGTAGATCTAGCCCCCTACCCCCAATCTAGTTACCTGCCTAGCTCTTGCCATAAGGCTCAGGGAAGTGTTTACATTTTTCCAGTGGCTTCTTGCCTGTGCAGCCTGGCCCCATATGATTCTCAAAGGCTGATAGTCAGATAGGAGCCAATTCATCTTCTAGCCTCATGGAAGTCTAAAATAATAAGCAAGTGCCTATTACCCTGTTGGGTTGTGTCTATAATCAAAAGTCTCTTCTCTCTACTTCTGCAAAACAAACAGACATCTGGCTAGTAAGTAAGACTAGGGTCTATGTCACACTCATCTGGGAGGATACAAAACAACCAAGGAAGCAATTCCACAGTAACAGATTTTTTTTTATCATTTCTAGTGAATTCACTGATATAGGCCTTATTAAGATGTTGGTCTGTACTGACTTCACCCTTCGTTCGGAGACTTTTTAATAGAGAAGTTGGTAGAATGTAAAAACAAAAATAGCTAAAAGCTAAAAAACAAAAACAAATTTAATTGATGTAGGATTTTTTTTAAACATCCCTGCATTTTCACATTGACAGTGGTTATATTTATTTTTGCTTTACGATTTTTCTGCACCCTCTCACCAGTTCACTTACTAAAGATGTCTACTGTTCTATATGAGCAAGAGAGCAAATCAAGATCATTGACATAGATAAGGACTGAGAAAGCACAAATTCCCCTTGGCTAGGAAATACAGCCAAATACTCTGAATTTTGTTTCCACATTCCTTCAAAAGCTCACACAATCATCCTAAGTTATTATACTAAATTTTGTGGCATCCCATTGACAGTTTAAGAAAGAATGAAAGTCATACAACATAGAGGATAGTGTAATTAACTTCTACAAAACCCTCAGTCAAAGAGAAGATTATAGTTCAAATATATTTTAATAAACCGAATGAAAGTACAATATTAACATAAGTTTTATGACAGTTAAAACTTGGGGATTAACATCTAAAAATAACTTTAGGAAAATAATAAAAACATCCATTACTCTTTAGCTGTAGATTGATTAGGGTAGCTCTTTACACAGCCATACAGCATTACCTACATTTGAAGTATAAGTAAAACCAATAACTAAAATCTCATATAATCTTTAACAATTAATGTAATTTCAGAAGGTATTTACAGCATTGTTAAACATTTAGCTTTCATTAAAATAACACCTGGTGATCCTTCCATGAAGGTCCTTGTTGAAGAAGTTCTTATTATGGAATGCCAGGGCTCTGTTATTATTTGGACATTCTGTATTCAGAGATATTCAGGAGTCTGACACTTGTAAAGGTACTCAACACAATAATAGTACTTTATAAAAACAATAAACATTTCTGTCCCTGTAGATGTGTACAATGAGCCTGTTTATGCCTTTTCAGATTGGCCTCCTGCACCTGTGTCCCAGGTCCCTCCTAGTTGGGAGCCCCCCCCCCATGCCCTGTTCATTTTGAAAATAGGGGAAGCAAGGTCTTAGGCAGAGTGGCACTGCTGCATGAGTCCACCCCTCCACATTTATACATGTATGTTGTGCTCTGATCTATACATTGTAAAAACTCATTTGTGGTAAATACACTACATGCCAATATTTGGAACTTTTATGAATATATTCCAACACTTCATGATGAAGAAGGTCACAGAACCTGAAGAATGGATTGAAGACCACTACCTCCACCACAACTGGTCGGCAGTTCATCACCTTGACAAGGTTATATGTGATCTTTTCTGTGATATATTGAATGCAGTCTATAGACTCTTATAAAAATAACACAATAACAGTCATAACCTTTGTAAAACAACTTTTCTTTAAAGATACATACATATACAACCAGTCAGGTCTGTGTTGTTCATTTCTGGCTCTTTGTATTGTTGGACTATCTTCATCAAAGTATTTTTATATAACAATTTTGAAGCACTTGGGGATAGTATCTGAAGCTTCCCATGTGATGTGCCAATAGTAAAAAGTGGTTTCTTGGTTCATGTTGTCTGTGTACAGCCTGGGACTAGGATCCAT